AAGTGCAGATACATGAATGAGCATCTCTTTAAACAGTTGAATGGACATCTCTTTGAAAAAAAAATCTTCCTAGTTTGTTGAGTTCCAAACCATCCCAAGAGGACTTGTCCTGCCTTACCAATTCAAATTCTGCACACAAAGTCAGCTGTCTAAAAGTTGAAATACTTAAGTCTTTGATGAATGTCATTGTACTCCAATATCTTGATTTCAAATTATAGTTGAAAAATACAATTTTTTTCGGTTTTGCTTTTTATCCCTAGGGTGTAAAAGAATCATCTAGGAGGCCAGAACCCAGACTCTTTACTCCAGAAGAATTCTTTAGGATTTTTAATAGATCCATTGATGCCTTTAAGGACTTTATGGTGGCATCTGAAACTAGTGACTGTGCAGTTTCTTCAACACTGAGTCCTGAGAGAGGTAAAGCATCTAAGCATATCCAACTTACATGCAGATATCACGCTTGAACTTTATATCTGTAAGAGTGCATGTATGAATCAAATATATGTGTAGTTCTAGAAAGAAACATTTCTTTCTAAGTAAAAAAGCAGATATTGGTGGCGCAAAAGGAAGTATATCGTAGACTGCCTGTGCACAATTCAGTACAATGCTCAATCACTTTTGGAAACAATGTGTGAAGAAACAATTTGAGATGATTGGTCCTCTTATCTGCTGTTTGCTAGTCATGACAGTTCTATTATTCTTCCTTAATGTTCCCTTCTCATGGCTTTTCCTTAAAGATGTAAAGCTGGTTCTCTCCTTTCCCACCACTGTCCTAAAATCTTCATTGCTTTCACTTTGTGTAAATACAAATTACCATCTTGTTGTATTCATACTGATTAGCATACGTATGCAATAAGTCTTTGTTCTACCAGGCGACTGTGGTGAATTTCTTCAAAGAAAAAAATAGAGGACCAGGACACAGTATGAAATAAATAGGATGTAAACAATTCCGACTTGGGAAGTGCATCTGGCACCCAGATATACTCTTCACCTTTTGGGGACTCTGTGATTCATATAAATCACCAAATAACACTGACACATTATTGCTTTCTATTTAGATTCCAGAGTCAGTGTCACAAAACCATTTATGTTACCCCCTGTTGCAGCCAGCTCCCTTAGGAATGACAGCAGTAGCAGTAATAGTAAGTACATGTACCTGATAAATGCATGCATGGCTCCAATTAGCCACTATAGGAGTGTTGCATGGGCTTCAAAGGAAATTTATAAATTAATACTATTAATACTGTTCTATTCCTTTTATTTCACTTGCACTTCATGAGAAGTAAAGATCTGGTTTGTAGAATGGGGTTTCTCTGGAGTCTGAGATAATGCTAAGATGGTATCTATATCTATATACATGGCATGGGATTAATTTTAGAAGTATGATTTAGACAGCTATCATTGTAGATTTAAAATATATTTTGTGGAGAATGTATCTGGCCAAAATGTAGGATTTTTTTTTTGTATGTGTGCATATGTTGGTCTTAGGCTTGAACTCAGGACTTGAGTGCTGCCTCTGAACTTTTCTGTGCAAGGCTAGTGCTCTGCTCTTTGAGCTCCATTTCCAGCTTTTTGGTATATAATTGGAAATAAGGGCCAAGCCTTTCCTGACTGGGCTGGCTTCGAACTGTGTCCTCAGATTTCAGCCTTCTGAGTACCTAGCATTACAGGTGTAAGCTTCCAGATGAAGATGTAAATTTTGAAGTGGAAGAGTTGTCTGTGTAGAATTACAAGGACATTTTCAGTTTTGTATGTCTGCATGTCAGTATTTACCATCTATGTATTTGAAATGTGATGATTTTGTTGTTTGATCTTAAAGGTATTTGTTGAAAGGGAATGTATTTATTTTCCTGAAATTTTTGTCCTCTTTGGCCAAGTACCCACGTCCCTAGAAGACTAAGTCCTCTTTTCTAATTTGTGAAAATTCATTACAAAGGTTACTGAATATATTGTGCCCTCTAGCCTCATGGAAGCTGCAGAAAGAAAATAGCTCTGGTGATCTTAGCTAAGAAAGGTCATCTGTATTATTATTAATGGGGCAGGCCTACCATGTGTTTAGGGACATAGACGACCTCTCTAAAAATTAAAAAGGAAAAACAATATATTACAAATTCACAATGGCTTGTCTGATATGCATAGTTTCTTCAAAACACTCTAAAAGGGTTTATTTTTTTTTTAGGAATTTTATGTTTAAAACTTGACCTGAACTGTGATGAAGCTGTTTATAGTCTTTATTATTCTAAAAATAAATATTTATATGTTCCAGTGCAAGAGAGCATAGGATACTACCCAGAACTTTCTGTGTATAGTCTATAACATTCATTATTCATAGGACAGAATCTTCTAAAATCCAGAATTGCAAATTATATACATACTACAAGGGACTGAGGTCTTGTTTCTGTCTGGCAATTTGGGATCTTTCTTAGTAACTGGGAATATTATTACTCATTTGGAGGAAGCAGCTTTTGACTTCTTAAAATCTATTTACATTTCCCTGACTTTAATCGTTGTTGTTTCTTTTCTTCTACTTTGACTTGGGTTTACTCAATTTGTTCTTGCTTCTTTTCTTAAACTCAAGATCCTCCAACCTCTTTGATTCATGGATGATATAGAAGAACACAGTCTGTAATCTTCTGAAATCTTTTTTAACATCTCTGCATTATTTTGTAGTGGCTTAGGAAGAAAAGTATGCATCTTAGAATTGTGGATTACAGTTTTTAAAAGATGTGTGTGTGTATGTGTGTGTGTGTGTGTGTGTGTGTGTGTGTGTGTGCATGTATATGTCTTCAAAGTTATAAACTCCATAAATACAATCTTAAAATTGTTGCTCTAAACATTAATATCTTTTAAAGAAAAGAAGAAAAAATGTGGCCGGGCACTGGTGGCTCACACCTGTAATCCTAGCTACTCAGGAGGCTGAGATCTGAGGATCTCAGTTCAAAGCCAACCTCAGGCAGGAAAGACCATGAGACTCTTATCTCCAATAAACCACTCAGAAAACAGGAAGTGGTACTGTGGATCAAATGGTAGAGTGCTAGCCTTGAGCTGAAGAGCTGAGGGACAGTGCCCAGGCCCAGAGTTCAAGCCCCACAATCGACAAAAAAAAAAGAGAGAGAGAAAAAATGTTGCCTTTTATATTTGCACACATATTATTTCTTTTCATTCCATCTTATAATTTCAAGTTTCTATCTGATGTTAATTCTTTCATGAGGGAAAACTTCATTTAGAACTTCTTATAGTTCAGATCTAGCCACAAATTCTTTATTCAATTAGTAAAGATCTATGTATTTTATTGCATTACATATATATTTTTCAAATATTTGCTCTGTATTCTCTTGTTTATCTCCTTTTGAAATACAAAGCACACAAAAGACATAAGTAACAAACTTGTGCTCTCGCATTCCATTTTTTTGCTCCTTCCTCTCCTTCTATTCCCCTCCCTCTCTCCCATTCCCACCCTTGAGGTCTTTTCTTTTCTGTCCTTCCCCTCCCTGTCTTCATATCCCTTCCCCTTTTTAAAGTTGATTTCTTCTCCCCAGCCTCCATCTTTTAAAAAATCAACCTTCTCTCCCCTCCCATTTCTTTGCCTTCTTTTCTTTTCCCTTTTATTGCAGTATTGGAAACCAAAGGCCTTGAGCCTACTAGGCAGATGCTTTACCACTGAGCTACACTGCCCACCCTTCACATTCTCTCTGTTGTTCTTAGTGGATAATTTCTACTCTTCTGTTTTCCAGTTCATTGACCTTGTTCTTTATCACCTCTAATGTTGCTGTTTTTCATTCAGAAATTCATATTTTATTTCTATATTTGAATTTTATTTTCTGAATTTACATCCAAAACGATCTCCATATTTCTTCCCAGAGATGGTTTCCATCTGCGTATGTGTTATAATATTTCCTGTATTGTCCCTTACACATAGAACTGTTCTAAAATTCTCATTATCTAATTTCAACAGGTAGGCCATTTTAGGCCCCTTAATTTGTTGATCACATGGGCTTTTAAAAGATTACTAATTTCTGAAAATATTGTGAATATTATTGATGCTATGTTGCTGAGCATATTCTGGATTTCATTGCATTCCTATAGAAATGATTGAGTTTTGTTCTGGTAGGAGGTTTACTTACTGGCAGATGAGCTGTGCTTTTCCGCTAGTCTTGTTTCTTAACGTTCTTGGGGACAGGGAGAGAGTATCCTTACTCTTGAGGCATGGAATTTTTGAGACATCTCTAGAGGGCTGAAAAAATCTCAACCATCTTGCTTATGAGAACTCTTTTGACCCCTCCCCCCATGTGTCTTCTAAGGTCAGTGCTTCCTGGGAGCTGTGTTCCTGCCAGGTTTGGGGATGATTCCTTGTGTGTGTACAAGCTTATTTGTTTAGTAGCTTAAGGAGACTTGTCTGGGGATTTGTGGTACTTCTTTGTGCAGCTCTCTTCCCTATCCAAATAACCCGACTCTACAATCCTAGCCAAGTCATGAAACAGAAACTTCCATCTCTGGCTCCTTGTTGTAGTGAGAACATTGGGCTTCCTTCAGGTTCTGAATTCCACACATCAGTCTGAAAATGCATCTCCACAGGAGAAGTAATATTGGCCTCTGTAGAAGGGGACACTGAGGGACCTTTCTCTTTGTCCTCCTTTTCCTGCAGGAGGGCTGCTGATGAATCTTAGATTCCAGAACTTCACTGGCCTGTTCTTTTAATGGTGGGACAGTCAAAGAGTAGTGACAATGACAGTGAGAGTCAGATCACATAGCACATTATCCGTCAAGGGGAGCACAAACATCAAGAGCCAATTTATTCATTTATAGATTTTGATATTAAATTACTAAAATAATCTGTTTTTTTTTCAAAGAAAGCATCTTTCTGGATGTTTGGGAGATCTCAGACTGCCCCATTAAATCATAATATATATACATAGATACTAAGATAGCTGTATTACAATGAAATATTATTTCAGTTATACTCAATCTTATTTTATAACTGAAGATTGTTTTTTGGATGTGTGAAAATGTTCATATTGAGTTGTAATATGAGGTGACTGGGTATGTCCTGTCGCAGTAGGATAAGTGATGGGCCAGAACTGTAAATCAGTCAAGAGGGAAATCTATGATTATGGAAATAATGACCATATTTCCCACAACTCCCTTTCTAAACCCTGCACTTAATAACTATATCTTCTTCCTTTGCTGTTCTCTCCCTTCCAACACACACACCCACTCCCATACACACATAAACATCTTATGAGTAGAATCTCTTGGGAAACATAGGCATCATAAAATTATGCAATCCATGTTTACATATGTTGGGAGCATGTACAATTCCTGTTTTTCTTTTCTTTTCTTTCTTTCTTTCTTTTTTTTTTTTTTGTTGGTCGTGGGGCCGGAACACTGGGCCTAGGCACTGTCCCTCAGCTCTTCAGCTCAAGGCTAGTGATCGATCACTTGAGCATAGTGCTACTTCTGGCTTTTTCTGCTTATGTGGTGCTGGTGCTGAGGAATCGAACCCAAGGCCTCATGCATGCAAGGCAAGCACTCTACCACTGAGCTACCTTCCCAGCCCACAATTCCTGTTTTTACTACAGTAGATCTGTTTCATACTTCTTAGATACCATAGATCTATGGGTTTACTTTTCCCTCTGAATGTTGATGCACACACAGTCGATATATCTTTTAAGTTACACACTTTAGGAATGTTAGATTCGACATGGTAAGATTAGACAAAAGTAGTTTACATTCTGAGTTTATCTCTTGAGTTTAGGTTCTGAACAGATAATTGTTGGAAAATAATAATTTCTCCCACAGAAAACTATAAATGTAACTTTCACAAAATGTCCAATTGTCATCAATGTTTCTAGGAACCCGTTTGCTCTTTGTATAGAGACACGTTGAAAGTAGTCAAAATAATTTCGTGTTGGGTCTTCCAGACCTTTGCTGTTTCTTTTTCTTTTTGTTTGGTTGAGAGTTGCATTGGGGTGTGGACTCAGGACCTCATGCTCATTTGGTCGCTTGCTTGGCTGGCACTCTACCACCTGAGCCATGCTTCAGCTCCTAAGTTTCATGTTATAGGACTCTTGAAGAAAATGTATTTTATTTTATTTAATTTGAGTCATTCTGGTATTCATGCATGAGTGAGACAAGACCAGGGAAGAGGTATTAAAAGCCAATTCCAATTGCTCACAAAATTATATATTTAAGCCTCATTATGGTAAGATGAAACTGGTGTCTATAGCCATCTTTTAGCATGAGAAAGTGTCAAGCATTCTTATCTAAAGAGTAAGAAACTAGATCTATAGTTCACAGCACAGTTCTTAGCACTTCTTGGCATCTAGTAAGTGTATATTGAAGAGATGAAGAAACAAGCAACCGTGATACTAAGCATGGGACACCTGAAAGTACTGTACCTGCAATACACACTAAACTAATACTTGCAAAAGGCCAAGTGCTCATGAATGCATATAGCCCAGATTATAAGTGTTGTCTTTAAAATTGAGGAGGCAAGGGTTCGAGATGCTCAGAATGCAAAAGTCAAAAGATATTAGAAGATAAATATGTAAAAGGTAGATTTATTGGATAGCAGAAATTGTGTCCTACCACTCAGAAATGTACCAACTCTGTGTTCTACATGCATGAATTTTAACCAAGTCCTATCTTTCTGTCTGTGAGGGTTTTTTTTTAAGCAATGTATTCATTTTCTGGAGATTATGTGGATTTATTGCCTTGTACAAATAATACTCAGCAGAAAAATCAGCTTTTTACAATACCTTAAACAGATGTAGGCCAGAATACATTATGGAACAGTTGGGAACAACCACAGTGTAAGAGGAAAACATCTGAGATGTCACCACTGTACTCTTCAATTGCAGGGAAGGCTGACAATTCCACTGGAGACTCTGATCTACAATGGGCAGCCATGGCCTTGCCAGCATTCTTCTCTCTTGTAATTGGCTTTGCTTTTGGAGCTTTGTACTGGAAGGTGAGTCTGGCTATTCTGGTTAGTATTTTTTCTCTACTCTTGATCAACTTCACATATTTACTAGTTCATGCTATATACACACGTACACTTAATAAATTTCCACTTTCCAAGACAAGATCCAGTTGAGAAAACAATGATGTTTAACTTCTAGTCTCAACAAAATTACAGTATTAGAAATGTTTCCACAAAATTACAATATTAGAAATGTTTTCACCATTCTTCATTATGCTATAGCAGAATTGTGCTCTAGCAATTTTTTTAGCATTATGCTTTGGCGATAACCCAGAAAATGCACACCCAACATTTAATAGCACTGAGTTAAATATAAAAAGGAAGAAAATCTGCTGAAAAATCATATGATGGGCTTAAAAGTCAAATAGAGATACCATTTGTATAACTGCTATTTTGAATTTCTGTTCTTTTGTTCTCATCTTGGTGAAGCCTGTCTTAAATTTTTTTAATGTGCTAAATCATCGTGACTCAGCTTTTAGAAATCTCTTGAATTTAATTGCCATTTAAATTTGACAGTTTACTTTTTACTCTTTCACCCCCAGTGTCTTCTAAATATGGAGTTGATAACACATGTACTTTTCATAGTCTTTTATTGCAAAACTGTTTTGCATGCTGAGAAAAACTCATTGGAGTGAAATAACACTGAAGATGTAAGCTAACCTCTTAAAGACTAGAGCAGCCATTTTTACAGCATGAACCATTGTTCTTTTCACAGAAGAAACAACCAAGTCTTACAAGAGCAGCTGAAAATATACAGATTAATGAAGAGGATAATGAGATAAGGTATTTTGTTTTGCTAAATGTTCATAAGTAAGTTTGACAGTACTGTTGCTTGTATTGTGCATGTGGATTTTTTTAATGCTTTTAAAGAGTTAGTCACATATGTCCCAAACAGTATATCCCAAATCTCATTTTTCTGACTTTTGACTGTCTCTTCACTCCTAGATCATTGTACCTGTCAAATACCTTCACATGCATGTCTCTGAAAGCAGATTTGCTTCCCTTTCTCTTTCTATACCATTATGAAGACATCTGAGATATCTGATTCCTTATGTTTGGCAATAGTTATCTTCAGCCATGTCTGTATGATCTGTTTGCTGAATTACCACCACCAAATCTAGTATTTAGGCTTTGTAAATTTAGTCTCTGTTATAGCCCTCCTGTAACCTTTGATCACAAAGTCACTTTCTTCTCAAAAATGCTTTCTCTTCCATCAGTAATGTATTCTTTAACTTCATTCTGGTTTTCATTGCCCTCAATTTCTCCAAAGCCAAATACATTGTTTCAAGATATTTTTAAATTTACTAGAACTGGTGGGATAACTCATCCATAGTACAACACATTTGCCCTGCACTAAAAATTTCATTTATATTTGGTTATCCTTTTCAGTGTATTGTATCGTATCATGCCTGTCTGTATAAATTAAATGTACATATACTAAGTGCATACAAGCATTTTTAGTACATACATAAAAAGAATTTTTTAAGTACTTAGGAAGACTATGAAGGTAAACTTCAACCAATTTCACAAACTTTTGCTACTATATTTATGGAAACAAAAACCAAGCCTTTTACAATTTCCAGATCATGGTATACTTCAGAATCTCTGTCCAAAAGCAAATGAGTATTTCTCTTGTTTTTCAGTATGTTGCAAGAAAAAGACAGAGAGTTTCAAGAAGTGTAATAGCGGCTTGTATCCACACTGTTACCTTCATACATTGGTAAGTTGTTTTAGAAGTCCAGCTGAAGCTGGGTGATGGTGGCTCATGCCTGTAATCCTAGCTACTCAGGAGGCTGAGATCTGAGGATCACGGTTCAAAGCCAGCCCAGACAGGGAAGTCCATGAGCCTGTTATGTCCAATAAACCACTAGAAAACCGGAAGTGGGCTGTGGCTCAGGGATAGCGCCCAAACCCAGAGTTCTAGCCCCACGACCGACCAAAAGAAAAAAATAAGTCCAGCTGAAATAGTTAGCAAATCTACATAATATCTGAGCAGGTCAAAATTAGAAACAAACTTTATTTTTATATCCTGGATCAAGTAGATGTCACAATGTTAGCTGAAGTTGTTGCATAATTAAATGGGGCCTATCTCACTTATCCTATTCTCAAGTTTTGAAAAACAAGCAGGGTTAATTCTGAGGTGGATCCATCTTCAGTGAGAGTCATATAAAGAACTAACAGTTCTTCTTTTATTTGGTATGATTTTTGGAGACTGGAAAATGTATTAACTGAAGGAAATAGAAAGAATTAAGACAAAAACAAATGTTAAACCAATAAAAGTGATTAAAATCAAGTTAATTTAGGTGTTGCTACCACAAGAAGTCAGTATCCTATTTGGTAGATGCTGAAAAGGAGAAAACCAAAATGTTTCTCTGCCATTTGAAGGAAAAGGAGGAAAAAGTGAGAGTATCTTAAAAGTAGGGGAGTAAAACTGTGAAGGCAAAGTGCTACCTTCCTCGGGATGGCTCCTCGGTGAATGTGTAAACCAGTGACAGATACTTGCAGTGACTGTGTGGTTTGAGAAGGACTGGTAGAGAAAGGAGAGTAAGACCTAGCCAGAAAAGACTGGTGGTAAGCTGGGCGTTGGTGTCTCACACCAACCCTAGCTAACCTAGCAACCCTAGTAACCCTAGCTACTCAGGAGGCTGAGGTCTGAAGATCGTGGTTCAAAGCCAATCTGGGCAGGAAAGTCCATGAGACTCTTATCTCCAATAAACCATCAGGAGAAAACCAGAAGTGGCACTGTGGCTCAAATGGTAGAGGACTTGCCTTGAGCTGAAGAGCTCAGGGACAGCCCCCAAGCCCAGAGTTCAAGCTGCATGACTGATTTTAAAAAAAGAAGAAAAGAAAAGAAAGACTGGTATTCATTAGCTCCTATGTATTTACTGGCTTTGTTTTTTTTTTTAGCTCAGACCAGTTAGAGGAACCCAGAATGGCATTAACTTGATCCTTTACCGATTCATTCTCTCCCTTACTTTCACTTCTGTTTCCTGCTTATCAATTTTGGAGCTGCTCCTTGAGCCCTGATTACACTAAACATAAAAGGGTAGGAATGTTCCTTGTCCTAACACAATTCTTTCTGTGCTATTTTTTTTCCAAAGCTAAATACATTGTTTCAAGATACTGTTCAATTTACTAGAACTCATCACTAATATCTGAAGGTCACTTACTGTCTTCAATTATTACTGATACAATCTCTTCCTTTTCCTAACAGGTCACTGTCCTCTCAGCCTTCCTTTCTGTCCCAGATTCTAAAATTATCTCCAGATTGACACTTCCCTAGGAAAGCAGGGCCATAGAGTCTTTTGCTTCTAGCTTTAGCAGCTCACTTTAGTTGTTGTTGTTGTTTAAGACAAACTTGATACATTATGATGTAATAATTCCTCCACCTGTTTCTTTACTAACTCTAGACATTCTCTTTTTTTGTTTCCATTCCCTTCTAACTAAGCTCAGTTTTTCTGTCCAATAAAGGCAAATGGCTAGATCTGCCTATAACACTTTTTATTTTTCTGGAGCAATGCTTCCCAAGCTGAAATCATTTTTATTCCTGGAAACATTTTTCTCCCACCTGAACCCCAACACAAGCCTTAACATTTCTTCCCTAGCTGCCATTTAATTCCATTAGGCATCCACAAACCACATATTAAATGGTTAATTGCATCTTAAAAACTCAAGAATGTTCTGTTGTTGGTTTAGGGTTGCATGGCTGGGACCCTGCTTTGGCACAGTCTTCAGTCCCGTGGTTTTTAGTTGTGGTATTTGTCTAGTGATATTTGGAGAATGGATTAGGATGGGGAAACTCAGGAAACTTGTTTAGGAGGAAAAAGATGCCATTTTAAAGTAACTGTAGTCAAAAAGCTTATTCAGATTTCTACTAGTTAAGTAACATGCAAATACAGGATCTGGGATTGTCTGCTTTTTACTACTGCAATGCTGTTTCTTAAGAAATGTTTGTTGAGTGAGAGACCATGAGAGTGAATAAGGCCTAAAGTAAAAGGATAGCCAAGTGGTGAGTTTTTCAGAAAGTAAAAGAATTGCTTTTAAGTTGTATCTCTGTATACGTACATGTGTTTAGTTGGCTAGTTCTTGTCAGTGGGACAGCCAGGTGGTTTATGGTCATATGGATAGTTTACCATTAGATCAATACTACAAAAGTATGAAAGATTACTCATGTACCAGACGAACAAGAAGCCCAGAATAGTTCAGAAATGAAATCACCACAATGACTAAGGAGTGGTGGTGAGCTGGATGGTGGGGTAGCTGATGGGTGACGAAGTCAACGACTAATTTTCCTTCCTAGAAAGCCTCATTCATCACTTCTGGCAAGACTCGAGGCAGCTACCACCTTCACAAAGTCCAACTTCCCATTAAACTAATCTCTATTTGTGGTCCTCTAGCTACATTTTATACAAAGTTGGTAGGACATTCCCATGTGTAGTTATATATGAGTGTAGAAACTGTGAGTTCTAAGAGGACAGTGTTTATTCTATATTTAATTTTAGAAAGCAGGCCAACTACATCACTTACATTTTGTACCTATAAGCAATGGATATTTGTTGAATAAATGAAGAGATGATTTAATAAGATTGTCTTCAACTCACAATAAAAAAAAGTCTTACTCAGAGAATTGCAATAGTATAAGAAAAGTAATAGAGATGAAAACTCAATTTTGAGTATATGTATGAGTAAATAAGAGTTCAAATACAGAGGGAAAATAGTCTAAAAGTCCAGGGAAAGGCAGCTCATCACAAATCTGCAAACCACAAAATCAAATATATATCATATGTCATGATTGATTCCAATTGTAATAGAATAAAAAGTATTACTGTTTTAGAACCAGCAGAGGTTTAAAGTCCTCCAAGGGACTGGATGTGGTGAAACACACTGGTAATCCCAGCTATTTGGGAAGCTGAGACAGGAGTATTGAAATTTCAAGGCTAGTCTGAGAAACTTAGCAAGACTTTCTAATGCTGCTGCTGCTGCTGTTGATAGAAATAGATGAGGAAATAGTTCAGTGGTAGGTACTTGCCTAACATGTATGAGGCCCTGGGTTCAATTCCCCCATGCTGAAAAAAGAAAATAAGACCAAACCATACAATTAACACTTCTTCAAAAAGTATATTCTTTTTTGAGATGGAAAGGTTTTGTTGTGCAAAATATAACATGGTAGAAGAATATCTTTTAAAAAAAGAATAAATGTAAAAAACAGCACCAAGACAGAAATGCATATATATATATATATATATATATTAGATGTAATTTGGATTACAATCATTTGCTTGGTTAACAGCAAAGGGAAAAAAAAGGGAACTATTCTGATCTGTGGCATGGATTCTGTCCTATAGTAGAAGGTTCACCTACTAAAGCAAATTAAATCATGACAAATATTGGAAGAGTAGGATGGGAAATATACACAGTACTTAACTCTCCAAAGGAAATCATCTATAATTTGGAAAAAAATAAAGAAGTGAGAAAGTATAATATTTTAAATGTAACAGGGGAAATGTGGAAATGAATTAAGTACTGAAGAAACAAACAAAAACATTGCTTCTAAGAAAATAATGTATACCAAAGTTTTTTCAACACCAAACATGACAACATTTACCTGAAAAGTTAAAAATTCACTTTGTGATCTATCTGGTGTCAATGGCCCTTATGTGGCAGAACTCTTCAGCATTGGGTTGTGTATGGCACAGCTTATAAGAAAGAAACAAAATAGGAATGTTACATTAAAAGCTTCATTTATGTTGGAATATTATGGGAAAATATTGCTCTTTATTCTTCCTGTAAATGTGATTCTAGCAAACTCTTGTAGGTACATTAGTGATATGATAATTTAATGGCACTGAGTGTTGTTCTCAAATTGTTTGGTGCCTACAAAAAGAAATAAGACAGCCAGGCACCGGTGGCTCATGCCTGTAATCCTAATTCATCAGGAGGCTGAGGTCTGAGGATCGCAGTTCAAAGCCAGCTTGGGCAGGAAAGTCCGTGTGACTCTTATCTCCACTAAACCACCAGAAAACTTGAAGTGGCTCTGTGGCTCAAGTGGTTGAGTGCTCACCTTGAGCTGAAGAGCTGAGGGACAGCAGCCAGGCCCAGAGTTCAAGCCCTCAAAACAAAACAAAACAAAAATATGACACATGGAAAGCAATTTAAAAAATTTTTAAGTTTGATTAGTGATCAAATATGTTCAAGTGGAACTGCAAAGAACAGCTGGGCTGGAAACCACACATTTTGAATTTGAGAGTTATTGATAAACTGAAGACTTACTATTTTCTTGACTTCTTCAAGCATGCTATGTCTAGAAAGTAATTCTCATGACAGTTGGGCATGTGGAAAGACAGATAAAGGAAAAATATTTTTGAAAACCTAACTAAAATTGCCCTAGGACTCTGAGCTCTGAGATAAATTGACTTTAGAATTAAAATAAGGACCAGCTCAACTCCAGCTTGGACATTCAGGCACATAGGACTTCGGAATGGTAGATTACCAAATGTCAGGGTCTCTGACAGTTGACCAGCTATTTCCTAAACATTTTGGAAGCTTGTGAATTTTGTTTCTGAGCTATCATTTTTTAGCAACCTCTCAATGTAAAGGACTAGAACAGGTGAGACCTGAGTTCAAACCTTGGCTTTACAATTTAACTAGCTGTAGGATCCTAAGTGAGTCAGTCATTTCACCCCCACTTTTCTCATATGCACTCATGTGACGCAGAGCTGTGTTTCAGACACCAGTGTATCACGTGTGCAACAGTGGTCCCATATGACTATAATATGGCCTAGGTTTGGAACACGCTGTGTCATCTAGGTTGGGTAGGTACTTGATAAAGTTTACACAACAGAACCACTGAGGGACTTATTTCTCAGAATGTATCCCTATCATTAAGTGACACATCACTGTATAATGAGATGGTTATAAAAATCCAGGGCATCATTATAAAAATTGTCATTATTTTTTTCCTGCCAGAAAACAGTTCTCAGCCTTCAAGTTTATTTTCTTTTATATTTAAACTTGCTTTTCTACCTTTAAGTCCACAATTTCAAATTAATCATTATTCAAAAACCAAATCCGTTTCTCTCCATCATTCCCTTTTGTCTGTCTAACTATGCTTTATTCTCCATCCTACACACACTTCCTTGGTGATTCTGGAGTTGGAAGCCTTTTCTAAAGAGAGGAATCAGAAAATGAGCACTAAGAAAGACCATCTGAGCTGTTACCTGTTCTTAGGGAGAGCACAGAGACTGGCTGATCATCACAGCTAAGAAAGAAGAAATTACGTAGCTCATTTAGGCTAAGCAGAGTATACAATGGGAGTCTGTTTTTCCTTCAGGAATCTTAGATAAATTCAGCTAGTGAGAATAAAAAAGAAGGCAGAAAGTAAACCAACCTTAATCTCTCTCTCTTCCCCCCTCCTTCTCTCTAGGCTGGTAACAGTTCATGTTTGCTTCATAAATGAAGCAGCTTTAAGACAAATTCCTATTCTGTCTGAAATGACAGACCTCATCTTTATCTGTTCTTGCTACCCATGGCATTATATGGATGATTCAGAAATTGGAACAGAGTGTTTTACTGTGAAACTGGCCTGGAATTAATCATCTGTAAAGAAGAATTTGCGAGGAGCAGGACTCTGTTTGAAGGACCTGGGGGTCTTGTGGTCTCATTCAGAACTTGGAAGTCATGATGGGAGAGAAAACCCATTTTCCCAGTCCACACACACACCATTTGCATGGCTCCCGAAATGTCTAAGTGCTGAAAAACAACACTGCTTTACTCTTCAGTTACAGCCTACAGCTTGTAGTTAGCCAGGTCTCTGCAAGTAGATTTCAGCCTGCATAGTGAGGGGAGGGGGGGGATTACTTTTTTTTCCTCAAAGGGATCTAGAAAACAAGTACAAAAACAAACAAACAGACTGTAGCATCATGGAGTGGAAAGAAATAGAAACTGTGATTGGAGAGATCATGTCAGCTCTGTAGTTGCTGATTAAGGAGAGGGGTCTGATCTTGGCATCTTCCTGGTGTAGACCATGTACAGCCATATCCTACTAAAACAATGAACACAGCTAGTTTGTTTTTCCCAGGCAAGGGATCCAGTACTGAATTTGAAATGTGATGCTTTGATATAGGGAAGCCTCTCAGAAGAGTCATCACAAGACGAAGCTATGAACACTGACCAGCAGAAGAATGTGCTGTAGGGGACATTTGGCTCCTGTAATGAAGTCGTCATTTCCCCTTGACCACTCTAGAGTATATACATCGTGTTTGCAAACTATATTATGACACGTTTATATTCTAGAACTGTTACAGACTTCATGTAATTGGACTTGGGAGAGAATGACGAATCTATGAAGGTCCTGTTTTTAATGTCCATCATGGGAGAGAGTATAAATAAATTATGATATTTAGTGTCTAAGGTTAGGAAATGGCACCCACATGCTGTAATGGGTGTTGAAAACTGGGTTACTTGGATTTGATAAGAATGCAAAGAATCAGGAAACTTTAGTTATTTATAGTATAATCACCAGTATCTGTTTAAAGGAACCATTTATTTAAAAAAAATCAGGCACTCTGTATTAAGATTTATGAATTAAAAATAAAGAGAGCTTTATGTAGTTATGCATGTCAGTTTGCTATTTAAATGTGTGACAGCATTTGCCATATTGAGTCAATTTGACAGGAATTTTCAAGGTGGGCATCATGCTTTTAAATTAGACTCCATAAGACCTGAAGTGAATTCCCCGTACCATTTTTTAAAGTTGAGAGAACACATAGCCAGTCAAAGAATAACTTTTCTTCACATCTCACATTGATGAAAGTTCTTTTAACATATCATGAACAAACATATAAAAGAATCTAAAAGTTTTCATTCTGACTTCATCCTGAGACATCATCATTAACCATGCGCTATAACCATAAGACATTTTTCAGTGTAATTATTCAAGTATGGCATGAAAACTGTTACCTTTCTGTTGGTTTTAAAAAAAATCCAAGAAGTTCTAGTATACTTGGATGTTAGCTTATATTCAAAGCTAATCAAGTATGACTCCAGTATGTGGCCTTTGCTCTTTTTTTATACCAAAGAGAGCAAGTAATTTCTATGGTCCTTTTCTTCTCTAAAGTGCTGTGTTTCCTCAGGCACTCAGCATTTTCTCTAAAATGCAAGTGCAGAGGGAGGCTTTATCAACTTGTTCATGCTCTCAGACACACCATGATTCATCATAAAATTAGGAGATCATTTTAATTGCTGGAAGGACCTATCTCAGTATGTGGCAATGGTTTTATGGAGGAAAATAGGCATAGGTTAACATAAGTAATATGTGTAAGTATGTAGAGATTATGAATATTAATACTTCTCAGACTGATGCTTTGATTTATTTATACAGTGGTTTCAGTTTGCTAGGGCCTATGAGAATGCTATTTACTGAACTTGAAAGTACAGTAAATATACTTTTGTTCTCAGAGTTGTGCTTTAACACTCAATGACCTTGTCTTAATTGTGCCAAGTAACAAAATTGAACAAGTTATATAACATTTGACACAGTAGGAGAGAGAGAGATGTGTCCTGCCTAATACATGTGTTAACTCATTGGGAATTTAGATACTAAGTTTCAATAAAGCATATGAACAATGAAAACAAAAACAACAAGGCTGAACATTTCTTTGGATGCTAGCTGCTTGGACAGTAACTATGTCATACCCATTTCCAGACTGAAAAATATATATGTGCTTATTTTAATTACTTATATGTTTAGAATATCTTTTTACATAAATTATGAGATGATAAACCATGAAATAACCTTTTAAATTGATGCCAGATATCTGATAGTTCTCTTTCATAATGTTTCAAACTTGCCTTTTAATTAAAATGAACTCAGAAGTATGCAGATTCTAAATTATACTGAAAACTGTACCTCTTTGGTAGAAACAAGTCCTATCACAAAACTAGCTCTGGGATTCATAATGAGGACTGCCCAGTCATACTGAAGTAGTTCTGAAGTTTTTATAATCTAATGGGCCTACCACACTGCCACTTTTAATGGGTCAGATACAATTTGATTTTGTTTTTCAGTAAGATACTGGCAAAGTAACCTATACTCTTAAAATGAATATGATTGTAGACATGAAAAATATTAATATAAAAAAGTATATATCCATAATGCAGTACTTGCTTTTGGTAGGAACCACACACATTTCTACTGAGCATTAGCATACTTTTGAGACACTCTGTTGAGTAATACATGAGCAAAAAGTCCATTCTGAAATTGTGGATATTTCCCAAAGTGTTTTGATTTCAAGATTTAATCTTGATACGAATCATTTACCCATTCTGTACTTAATTTGCTTTCAGAAGTATATTCTTTCAAAAGGCAATTTAGCTTAGAGGAATAGATGCTGAGCAAAACTACTAAAAGAACCTAGAAGAACCTATTCTGCCAACATCTAATATGGTAAATGACACCCCTCCCCCAATCCCACTTTGGATCTCAATTTTATATTGTGTGTAGCATCTCAGGGGGTCACTCCTTAGAGATGAGCCCTTGTTGCTATGTGACTGACAAAATAGATAAAATAGAGCAGAAATTGCCCCATACAAAGCTTCCAACTCTGATCTCTGAATAAACAACTTGACCATAAAAAAATCCTTGCTGTTTTGTTTCTAATGTAAAAATAGAGTCCATTAGTAAAAGTGAAATTCAGTCTCAAGTACAGTGAATCAGATAACCATTTACACAAGAGATGGCTTTTCCCTCTGTTTAAGTAAATGTTTGGGATCATTTCTGAAGAATAAAACTAATAGTGCATTTTAGTCAGGAACCAATGTCATAAGCTATGCATGACATTTGGAAAGGCACCAGTGGGTACTTAAATGTTCTAATTTTAATGAATGCTAAGAGCAGAAGATATGAGATACCAAGTTTCCTACTGCCAAAGGATATTTTATGACTAATTTATGAAAGGATAATTCATAAATTACAGATAAAATTGGAAAGAGGGACAAGAATTTAAAAGAAGCCAACTTATCTTTGAACAGATTAGTCTTATTGAAATTATTATCACTTTCTGAGACTGGTTTTAACATACATCCATTCAGAGTAAAATTTATTTATGGAGTTTGCTTGTAAAATTCATGGTGTTAGTATTTTCTGTTAACTAGTCTTGAGATGCCTCTGTAAAGGTAAATCATGGTACTTTCGTGTCATAACAAGATGTTCTAGAACTGATTCAATGTTTCCCAAGCATTGTTAATGTGTTACTGCCATTTCCAACCGCATTCTTATAATATTTCTGAAAATAAAATTATGATAATAGTTGTTTAAAACTATGAACCATAGTATTTTAATTTACTTGATTTCCAAGCTGTAAGACTTCTTCAATATAATTTTCCAATCAAAGTAGTCTATTCTCCTATATGGTAAGGATTAATGTGTGATTGTAGGGTCCACTTGCCACTGTTAAATAATGGACTTGAAAAGTATTTGGCATTTAGATGGATGTGCAGATTTACTGCTAGTTCAGTCATAGATTGGAGTTTGCATATTGTAATGTAAATGTATGTCAACACTATTCTAAATAGTTTTATTATGACTGAAGTTTAATTAAATAAAAAGGTTGTAAAATGTGATGTGTATGTGTATATACTGTATGTGTACTTTTTAAAATAGGTATATGTCCTGACCCTTTTTATACAGGTTTGAATTTGAAATTACATTATATATACATATGCTTTATTGTTCTAAATAAAGAATTTTATGCACTCTCCTAAATTTGCCCTGTCATTTGATCTCTTAAGGTTATCACACATGTTCCCAGCATTGACAAACATTTATTAAGAGAAAATTAAGTTTATTATTTTTTAAATTTAACTATGAAAATTTCTATACATTAATTTACATTAATTCTAAGGAATCTCTATGAATTGATTTATGTACACATTTAAATGACTAAATATATATATATTCACATATATAGTCATTCATACACACATACACATTGACATCCAGTTTTTATAACAGCATGCAGTTGTTATATGGCACAAATAAAAATTTAATTTTATTATGGTAACTTTTGTCAGTAGTCTACTTTTGTTGACATATGGAAGCAAAATTATCCTTAAATCATCAAAGGTTCATTTAAGTAGAATAAATATATATATATATATTTATTGTGAAAATAGACAGATTTAGTCATGGAAGATAAAGGAGAAATAACACATTCATTCTCTATTTTAAAAAAACCTGCTAAGGGACATGGCTCAAGTGGTAGAGCACCTGCCCAGTTACTGGAAGTAACTACGTTCCAGTTGATGTGCTTAAGACACACAAGAAGAAGAAATAGAAGAATAGAAGAATAGAAGAGACTCAGAGGCGTTTTTTTCAGGATAAAAATTATAAGGATACAACAAATTTTTTTCTCTTTTTTCTTTTTTTACATTTAATTTTATTTATTTATTTTTATTATTTTTTTATTGTGAACATACTGTACAGAGGGGTTACAATTACATGGGCAAGATAATTAGTACATTTCTTATCAAGCATTGCAGCTTCCTCCTTTGTTTACCCTTCACATCCCTTCCCAGCCTCCCCCCGTCCCCCCACCCAATCCCCCACCCCCACCCCCACCAAAGTTGTAAAGTTAGGATACGACAAATTTTTTACGGTTCAAAGCAAGAAATTTTAATATTTCCCAGCTTATTCCATCAAATAGAAAAGGTGCATCCTTAGCATGTTTTGTATCTATAGATATGCAGAGTCACAGATACAAGAGTAGGCCTTCCTCAATAAGATATACTGGATACAGATAACATTCTCAGGGTCCACAGCAATGCTTGCTTTTGGAAAAAGGAATAGCAAGAAGAACTTCATTATGGCTCTTGTGGTTTCCGAAGTAAATAACCATCCTCCATAGCCCCACCTGATATTCAATTCTTAGGATCACATCTCCCAGCTCCACAGCACCATTTTGTTTGGGAACAGTTTGCTGATTCAGTCTCTGTCATCTGCCTTACTTTAAATTGGTTCAGACTTTCACCAATAGATACCTAGCTGATTCCAACAGCCTCCTATCTGACCACAGTCCTTCAGTCTCACGGTCTCTTCTGCCGGGGCTGGCTTTGAACCGTGATCCTCAGAACTCAGCCTCCTGAGTAGCTAGGATTACAGGTGTGAGCCACCGGCACCCAGCAATGGCACATTTTAATAAAGTGGATAAAGTCCAATTACAAGCCATCCCTAGAAGCATTGCTGCTAACTGTATCTTGCTAACCTCTAAACTCAATATGTACAATACTACTTCCTACTTCATCTTCTCCACTTGCTAGAGGAATGTGGAACACTTTGCATTGACCCAGATCCACTATCTGGTAAGAACCAGGAAGTGCTATAAATGGAGATCAAGGTTGTAATATAATGTGTGTCTTGTGTCATTGCAGTCCATATTTAGCAAAAGGCTACATCCTATCAAGACCTTTTCTGCATCTTCTCATAGTTACAAAGAGGCTGTCTTTCGAGGATATATCAGCCTCTTTAGTCCTCTCAGTCAGTACCCATATTCCCACACACACACTTGGCACTGAGCCTGAAAATGGATTCTCCACCCCTCTTGAGTCATCTGTTTTCATCTCTAGACCCTCTCAGAACCTCCTGATACGAGATCACATAACCAGTGCCACTTTGTTTTTCCTTTCATGTGCTAACTTCTCAGCTTTTACATTAGATTTTTTTATAATTTTATTTACCATCTGGATTATTGCCATTTGATTCACTTATTACTCCTGCCTTGATTCCTGAAAAAATTTAATATGTGCATAAATGATCTTTTCAACATCCTTTGAACTTCTCTCTTCTGAGTGAACTTGCCTTCAATCCTACTCTAGCCAATCAGTCTCGTCATGCTATAGACATCAGTGCACTAACTGTAACCCATTCATCTCTCAGTTGCAGAAATTATACTTCTAACCATCACTTCTTACTGGTTTAGGTTAGTTTCTCTAGCCTTCCCAATCCCAACTATCTTTTGACTCACTGGGTCTGTTAATCTGTTGTTTCTACCAATTTTTACTAATGGTCATTGGGACTCTCTGTTATCTCTCTAGGCACATACTAACAGTCAAAGTCCAGCATTAGAATCACCTTTTCCTTGACCCTCTCCCTTCCGAATTTTTGCATGTTAAACCTTTGCACCACTGGTGCAACTCCACTTCTCCATGTTCCTTTATTTACATGAAGAGCTCAATATACCATCATGCTCACTGGTCTCTGTATAGTTATTTCCTGTAAACTTCAAGTGGGGTGCTATTGGTGTTCAGTAAGTATGCTGTTATAGAAATCATTTGCTTTTCTATGCGATAAACCATTTCACATTTTGTTTTCTCACACAAAGTGCACACCTCATTCTCCATTCTCCTCTTGTATGATTATCTTGACTGAAAATTGAAATAATAAGAGGACTTCCAATGGCTTGCAGCATTTTTTAAGGGAGAGGAGGGACTGCTAGGAATTAGACCTAATGTATGCTAAGTTCACACCTCAACTACTGTGCTGCAGTGAAGCTCCTGGTATTTAAAAACTGATTTTTCTGTGATACTAAAAAAACATCAGTGTCAACCCTCCCCCCTTCCTCTCTTTTGCCAAGTTCCTTATACTTTCTGAGGGGGGAACCTAGCAAATTGTTTGCATCGTTATGTGTTTCTGTAAATTTACAACCACATTTGTCAGTCGCCGTTCTGGTGATGGGGTAGCCTCCAGCAATACTTGCACTGATGCTTGTGCCAGCTCTCAAGGGTGACATGACCCAAAAGTACTCAGTCAGACATGGTGTCATGGATATAACTGAGACACAGAGTCCGGGACAAAGGAGCCAGATGCGGCGGGCGAGCGGATTCTACTCAACACCAGCAAGAACCGACCAGGAGCGGACATCTTCATCCTGCAGTTTGCGGGCCAGAGACGACCCAGGAACCAAGACTCGGCGAGAGTACAAGCTTGACATCCTCACTCCTTCTCAGGGAGCAGAGGAGGGAAGGCCACCCCTCCCCCCCAGTACCGGTGATCTCCATCTTGGATACCGACAAAGCTCAGAGGAGCTGCCAACTCCAGCTCAGGCCTTGAAATAAAATGAGTCATTTAGCAGGTCACAAGAACTTAATGGGGAAGTGACCTACCAGACTCAGCTCCATCCAGGGAAAAGTCACCCAGCTCGGGTGCCAGCCATAGGAGTGGCTTTCCTCACTGGGTAACCAGAGCCAGAGGCTGCCCCTCCCTCTAGCAGCCTCCACAATCAATTGAAAAACAGAAACCCTGAGAATGGCTCCAGGCTGGGCTCTGTGAGGTTTTCACAAAATAGCCCCAGGGAAAAGCTACTGTTTGTTGAAAGGCCTCAACTCTACCCAGAACCTAACCCCATCACTGCATTCCCCTCTTTTGTGATTCTCAAACCAGATCACCCTCCCATTAAACTAACCTGGGAAGGGGATTTCAAAATCTTGGGTAAAGCAGAGCATTTTTCTGCCTGTTCAAACAATCTGACTTAAGAAACCAATCAAGCCACAGGACCTCAAGCAGACCGGAGACTCCAAGAGGCTGGCTACAGACACTAGGGAGATACAGGATTTTTCCCACCCCTCCCAAAAAAATCAAAGAACTTTTTTTTTCTTTCTTCTTTTTCTTTTTCTTTTTTTTTTTGGTTCCTTATATTTAAGAAAAAAAAATTTTTTCTTTTCTAAAACTTTTATTAATCTTTAATTTTGGCTTTTTTGAAAAAAATAGTTTTCCAGTAACTTTTTTTTTTCTCTTATAATTTTTATTTTAGGGGTACGTGAAGGTGCGTTTTTCTTTCTTTTCTTGTCTTCATTCTCTTTTTTTATTTTCTTTTTTCTTTTTTAATTATCTTTTTGTTTTTGGTTTAGCTCTACTGAACTTCTGATCTTTTTATTCTCCCTTTCTTATCCTTTTCACCTTTTCCTCTTCTTTGTTCTTCTGTATATGACTTAACTCTTGTCCTACACATCCTCAGACAAACCCGTTAACTAGTAGACCCTACCCCCCATTGTGTACACACTTAATCCACAAATTTATTACTCAATTCAAAACCTCTGAGACTTAAATTCCTTAATAGCAGTACTACCTCTTTATACCTATATAACATTTTAAGCATTTTTTTTAAGTCTTTCACATCTCCTCTATGTCCCCCCCATCTCTCAATATACTCACATTCCTCTCTAAATAGATTGTTCTTGAATCTCCATAATATCATTAATTTTTACTTGTCTATTTTTTCTGGTCTCTTTTCATTTCCCTTTCTTCTTTTTCTTCTCTCTCTCTACTTGCATCCTACCCAACCTATTTCCTGCTCTGAGATTAGGACATAGTTAACTCTCCCTGTGCCTCCCCACACCAACCTATTCCTATTTTGTACTCACATCTCTCCCTAGCCCTAATAATTTCTGGTTTTCCAAATTCTTCTCTGCGGTTCGAAGCCCATTAACATATAGTTGTTTGATGTTGAATAGATGTATCTGTTGAACTAGATTGTATCTGTAGACTATTGACTGTACAAATTCATACTTTGGTTGATGGTAGCCTTAAGATAGTGTTCTAGCACAAAATTGGTGCTATTTTCATCTCAAATGGGCAGAGTAAGCCGGAAAAACACAAGAAAAATGGCAAATCCGTATATCTCAATTCCCAATCTTGATAATCAGGGGTCAGAACAGATAATGAATAATCCAGAGGAGAGTTCCCAAATAGCTCTACAAACACTGC